CTTTGTTTTAGAAGTCAGAAACTCAGTTCAACTGCTAATTTTCCCTAAAATTTCCCTGGTGAAATTTGTAAGGTGGCATCAGATGGTTTCTCACCTTCCAAAATTTTGTGCCTTCATGATGTTTGTAGTTTTCCCTTAATTTGAACTTACCAGCCAATGTACTAGGCTTCAATCCTGAATTTTTGTTTTTCATTTATTTAATATTCTGGTGATACTTCCACAATGGTAAGCAGTTCTTTGCTTTACCAAACAGACACAGGAGCTGTTGGCATTCTACTTTATGCTTCTTCTCTGTTCGCCACTGAAAGTTGATTATGGAAATTTCAGAACTCTTATTTTAAACCAACTTTAAACTGAAGACTTGCAATAATCAAAAAAACAACTAGACTTGTGCTTTCACTCATGTTGGACCATGTTTCATTGCTTCACTATTTTTTTTTAAAGTGGCTTCTCTTAGGATAAAGAGGGAAGGTGTCTTCTCTTTAGCAAACTTGTAATGCTTATAATTGTCTGGATTTTAGTTTTTTTTTACCAAACCTTTGTGAGAGCACAGTTTATTTGAGAAGGTCATGTAAAGACAAAAGTTATGTTTACGAAAGGCATTTTTCAAGATGGCCTGTAGTAGGTGGTCTTTGCAGAGGCTTTCTATAGCTCTTCTGCACATTGATACAAGAATTATGACAGAATAACAGAATAAGATCATGGGAGCAGTCAAACAGATGTCATCCATGTTAAACTGTTGGGGAGATACTGTGAGGAAATGAAGTCTAAAGAAGAAAAGGATGGAGAGGGAAAAAGGAGGGGAAGAGACCTTGGTTAGTGTAGAAGAAGATTGTCCATTGCAAAAAAAATAGTCTTGTTGACACTTCTTCAGTGAGCCTGACTCCTCAGAAGAAATATTGTATATAGAAAACTGTCTTTGCAATCTCCCCTAGTCTGCATGAGAAGCAATCTTTCAGGAAGAGGACTGCTTTTTTCTAATATTATTTTATGCATAATACATACTTGTAAAAATAGATGTTATGTTTTAGGGCAACATATAGAATTGCAACAAAAGCCTCGTAATTAGGTGGTTGTATTGCTTTACGAAATGAAAAAGTAATTGTTTTGTTGTGGTTTTGTTTTTTTTTTTTTCAGCTTTGCTTTAAATACTTTTAAACAAATTCAGAAACTTGCTTTTTGGACAAAGTAGTATATTGGCTAGGCTTCCCAATAAGCAGTTCAGTCATTTTGGCTGTTGACATGTTTGTCATAAGGAGAAGAAATATTCTAAATGAATTGAAGGCTCCCAAGCATTTGCTTGATATTTATAATAATGACATATTTCAAAGATTTCCTTTACTTGTTGAAATAAAAGAAAGCAATTACAGTTTGAAAATAATAATAATAATAATAATAGAACATCTCAGTGCTATAGTGCTTTTGTAGTGTGTTGAGATTTACTGTGGTATTCTCATTCCAGTGAGGTATTTTAAAGCAATTCTACAGTAAGCATGGAAATACTTTGGAAGAAATATTAGATCTCGGAGGCTCAGCATTTTTATTACATTTATTTAGCTCATCGTGAAGGGGGATCTAGTGCCAATTTCTGAAATCCAGAACAATATGTTGTAATATTACTTTTGAGTTTTGGTATTGAAACAAGCCAATTACCTGTGTGCTTAGGTATTTTGAAAGAGACAATAGCTGCAGTGCAAGGAAACTATAACATTTTGGGGGGAGGGTGGTCAACCAAATAATACCACAGTTGCTCCTATTTTCCTTGTTTTCCTCAAGATTTCTTCCTCTGCATATTACGTGAAGTTCTAAGAGATGGTTTTTTTACATCTCTATTACTGATTAATATTCTAAGTAAATCTTTACCAAAAAATTGCTCAGAAGTAAAATAGGTGCTTTATGTTGATGTACTGATATCTAGACACGTGCTGCTTCCCGCAGAAGGTGATCGGGTGTGCGTGTGAGGACACAGCACCACTGTTCCTTTACTGCTGCTGTGTATCTTCGAGCTCTGCTGAGGGTCTGTCAGAAAAGCTCAGAAAAATTCATAGGGAAGATTATGAGGAATAGATGGAGTTTGTTCTCCTCCATCTTGGTAAAATTAGGCACTTGATTCTTCTCTGAGATCCTCTTTGCGCAGGACTCCAGAGGAAACTTCAAATGCAGAAAGGTCTGAGCTTCTGTGCATATGCATCTTGTATAGCAATAAACAAGACTTCCCTTGCAATTTTGTGTTCTGATTTCTCTGGGTGATGTTAGGTTTATCAGTGAGAACTGGGAAGCTTATTTCTATTGTGCTGCCCATTGTCTTGTCAGGTGATGCTGTGGTAATGTAGTTTTGAATGCAGCAGAAATGAAAGCTGGGCAAGCCTTATTATGCCAGGATTAGGGAGGCTGACAGAAGATGGGGTCTCTAATTTTCACCTGTGGCAAGGAAGTGGATCAATAATAGTGTAGGTGGGTTATTTGGACAAGGCATCTTGGAGTAGGGAATGGGGAGATAAGGAAGAGGAATTACCAAGGTGTCTGGATTTTGAAAGGAGAGTGGAATAGTACCACCCCTCTCCCTCCCTGTCTTGAACTTACGGACAAAGAGTCAGAGGGAGAATCAACAAGATAGGGGCAGGAAGCAGTTTGTCTGTAAGACTAGAACCTGGCCTCAGTTTTGAAGTGAGGCAGAGACTGTCTCTGTACAAGGGGGGAGAAAAGCCAGTGCTGGCAAAGAAATAGGAGTAGGGCGTGGAGCACAACTTTCTCTTCCGTAGCTGGAGAAGACTGTCAGCTGATTTCTTTGTAATCTGCTGATACAGTCCTCTCCTTCAGTGCTGTTCTAGCCACAGTGTTATAAACTGCATATATTGACTACTGGCTTCTCATGTTGGATTCATGTAAAATGAATTTCCAGTATTCTACATATAAGACAGTACGTTATACAATACTGTATAACTTAGTTCCTTTTTCATCCATTTGTTGTTTGCAAAAAAACAGAGAAACTAATGTTTTATTAAACACATAATGTAGTTTGTGATGTTATGAAGGCAACCAGTCAAGAAATATGAGGTTTGCTGCTTAAAAATAGAAACCCAAACCAGACCTACATTGTGTGTATTATCATGGACTCTTCCCAGACTTCCTTCATGTACTGGACCTGGCTGACATACTGCAACTTATTATGTTCTTGCTTGTTTCACATGAATTTGCATATCTTATTAATTGCACACTCTTCAAAGGTAGTCTCAAAAGTTCTCTGAAGGTATAAATAGTTCTGTTATGTTCAGAGTATCTAAATGCCTTTTCTGTATTGATGAATTTGTCTTCAAAAATAGGTTTGAGCATTCCTATTGTAAATATGTGTAATTGAAAAACACATTTCAGATCAGATGTAATTATAGAATTGAGGTCGTTATTTAGGACCTCAGTATTCCAGATCATTATGTAGTACTCCCTGTATTCAGAGTGCATTTCACACTGACTTCAGGTGTGGCTGTGGACCCTGAAGTTGGATCAGAAAAAAATGTAAAGTTTTGTTATAACTGACCTGCGATGCACCCGTGGTACAGACAGACAGAAACAGGATACTGTTCTGGTGGCATTATTTGATTTCTTTCACCATGGGATCTTCCTCCTGATTCCTGCCTTTTCGATTTCCATCTTGATTTTCAGTGTGCATTCCAACTTTGGAATGTGAAGAAAGAAACCAGTTTGTGGGAACTTCTTTGATTCACGTCATATCTAGCTAGTAACACTGAAAAATGTGAGGAGGTTGTGTGGAAGTGTGGTGTACGTTGGTAGAATGAATGTATTTTTTATTTGCAGAAGCAGCTGAAACAAATATGTCTTACTTAATTCAAGTATTTCCTAACTGCAGGTGCTTGGAAACTGCAACTTTGGTGGAGTTTATTGGTTGGGGATGATTTACAGAGTTTCTAGGTTTCATGGAATAATTGACCACTTGCAAGTAAAAATAGAAAATACATGTCAATTCAAAATAATGATAACAGAAGCCTTTTGAGGCTTGGCTTATATTCCACTTTTTTACCAACCTGAACTTTTAAAATTGTTTACATTAAAGTGTTGTATATATGTAAGTGGGGCTTTGGAATACTGATGATATTTCGTGTTGTAAAAATGGAGAAGTTAGTGGGAGCTAACATGCTTCAGGTTATACTCATCGGCTTCTTATAGCTGCTTATAGCTGCAGAGCTGCACAAAGGAAGCTGCTAATAAACTGTAGGAATTTGTGATTAATTGCTTAGTAAACTAAATGTAGGCAGAATAACTTGTTCCATATTGGTGTTTGTGTGACAGAGCTAATTAAAATGGTTTGAGTTGACTCCTAATTTCAGATGCAAAGGAATAGTCTTCTGGAAATGCTTCTTCAGTAATTTTATGTACATTTTTGTTGATCTGTCAGGATATTACTTGTTTTGTTGGTGATCTGTGCTAGTGTAGTGTCTGTAAGTCGTGTTTTAATTTTCTCCGTTTATAAAAATGTTGATGCTTTATAGAAATAAGTGCTGGGGACTTCTTCACATGGAACTATACCAGTAGTCTATGCCTGTAAGTCTAATTTGATGGAGAAGTTATCCAAATATGTAATCATAGTCTGTTACTTTAGCTTAGCAATTCTAATATTTTTAAGGAATATAATACTTTCAAATAGAGTTTTGAATAGACTCACTTGAATTGTGACATAAGTAATTTGGAGTGTGTATAGAGTTTCATTAAGAATTTTGAAGTTTTTCTTATTTTTCTTAATATACTTTTCCTTTGTAGTTCAGAACTAGAGCTATATTCCATTTATAGAAAAGGAAATGCAAAGAGGGTGTAGTTATTGTTTATTGTTTTATAACTATGTGGCAGAAAAAGGCTTTCAGAGTGGTGTTTCATACTCACAGTTATGTTTCCCTACCATTTTAGAAGAAGAGATTGAAAGGTTTTTAATAAGTTTTTTTACGTAATATAACTATTGGGTTATTAATTTATTATTTCTTGCTGAACAGATAAAACCAGTTCAGATTTCAGTAACTGAATAGACATCATGTCTCGAGCACGACAGCCCCCACTTGTAACTGGCATCTCTCCCAATGAAGGCATCTCATGGACAAAAGTGACAATAAGAGGAGAAAATTTGGGAACTGGACCTACAGACCTCATAGGTAAGTTGAGAAGAAACCTCTTGATGCTGAAGAATGTAACGTTTTGGATATGATTAGAGATATTTTTTTTGCATGGTAGAATCTGTGTTGGATGGTAGGAAAAATGCCCTTTACTCAAATATGTGCTTGAATCCAGAAATTCAAGGGTGCTGCCCAATCTGTTACTAATGAGACTTACTAGATGAACCTTTAACCTGACGCAACATCCTGTTCTGAGTGTGAACCCTAAGAGCGAATGCATATTGGAGTGTACTAGAAGAGGGTGGATGTAATGGATGGACCTTTGTTACTTTGCCAGGCACTGAGAATCTCTGCATGGAAACTTTCCTACCAGAAGTGTTTTCAGTGTATTGAGAAAGTCATTGTAGGGTTGCTGTTCCTTGAATTAGTGCAAACTCGGTTTGTGCATCTGCAACAGTTATGACAGTGATTTAGCTACACATTATTTGAGGAACCATTTCCATTGCTGTTTTGATTTTAACATGGTAACTTCATTGTTGAAAGAGGGAGCAAGATGTTTGCTCTAATTCTCCTAACCATACAGAGTTTGTTCATTACCACTCTATTGCCTCATTTCCAGCTGAAACATCTTGGCTGATTTAAATTTTCTTTTTGTATCTTTGGCCCTTCTTGTTGCTCTTTAGTGAATCTGTCTTGGTCTCACTATCAATCATGGGTGAACATCATCTTGGGTACATGCAGTGTTCAGGATATGAATGCACTGTGGCATAACACTGTACTTTCACTTTTGTTTTGTATTTCTTCCGTAGGGTTCTGTTTTCCATATAACTTCTACTAAGTATCAGACTAATCGTTCTGCCTACTATAGTTCCATGATTTAATGCTTGAAGGTTAGAAGTCAATTTGAGCCTGTCATCTGTGAATTTAAGGTTTTGCCTGTGTGCATCATGTTATTTGTTTATTGAATTTCAGCTGTTGTATAACATCTACTTTATAGTGCATCCACTCAGTCTCATAAGTTCTGTTCCACCTTTTTTTAATAATATCAACTTTATAATCTTTTTATCTTGTAATTTATGAATATAGTGAACATAAGTGATCCCAGCATAACCCTGTGGAAACTTTCCTCTGTCAAAACACACCCTTTACTGTAACCCTGTGTCTGTCCTAACAAACTGTTTACCCATTTGAGGTTCATATCCTATAGCTGTGTAATTTTCGTAAGCCTTTCGAGAAGGACTTTGTAAAATCTTCTTGAAAATCCAAGTTAACTATAACTAGTGGAATTTCCCCTATTTCTTTTGTAAGTTATGCATATGTGTACTTCAGTAGTTATGTTAGAGACAATTTGTCTAATTTGTTGTGGAATCATGACTCCTCTGAAGTCCACTGGAATTTTGTTTGGCTTTGCTAGAAAAAATATTTCATTTCATGGCTGTAAATGAAGATTTACAAATTCCGTTCATGGCCACTACAATGAGCTTTATGGCCAAGCATAAGCTCCTACAGTTTTCTGCGTCAGTTCAGTTTGCTGTCTCTCTAAAGGGGAAGTAGTATTTTCCTGAACTGCTAGATGAGGTTGTAGTGCACTAATGAATCTTTATTGAGAAATCCTCAAATAACTGGTGATGTTTGAGGTGAGTATATTTCTTGTGTATTTTTGTGGTTGATTAACTTCAGTAACCTCATTAATTCATTGGTATGATCCTCTAGAAATTATCAGTGCTAGGTTCTTGGAAGGAGGACGTCTCCTGAACAGTATTACAGTTGATCAACTGTTTATATTTCTTGCATTTCCTTCAGAGTAACAATGGTAACACATAGCTGCTAATAATTTTATGTTTTGAGGTAAAAATAAGTAATCAATTGCCTTATTTTTTTTTTTATTAGCTCATTTGTCAGCTTTCTCCAGTAAGTGACTTAGGTCCAAGATGTAAAGATTTTTTTTCAATGGTTAAAGTAGACATGTGAATATTCTCTGTGACTGGAGTGGAAATACTTGCAAAAGTGAGGCTTTGTAGTCATGAGAGTTAAGAGAGTTTGAGTGAGATTTTTATAAAGTTTATAAAGTTTGAGATGCATTAGAGTAAAATGAAAAGCAAGTAACGTTTTTTCTATATATAAACAGAGTACCACATATTAGAAGAACATTCCTTTTCGTTTTATTCAAGAGAGTGCCTTCTAGTAATCTCTTAGTATCTTTGACACCAAATAAACTTTTTATTTGTAACTCTATAGGTCCTGGTACAAAAAGTCAAATCCAGGAGATTCCTGTAACATTTGTGTTTTCAAGATTTAGTTTGTCTTTTAAGACATTTTCGGCTGTATTTTGCAGACATTGTAAAATTGTTCATATATAAGCTTAACCAAAATTGGAAAGTCTCAATAAGAGAGTTACTTATGCCCATTTACTGAAAGACACCTGAAAGCTAGAACCCGAGTATGATGGTCTCAAAGGTGTTCGTACCATGCAACAGATTCAAATTAAATTTTATTTTAAGGGAAGTTTTTTTCTTTCTGGAGAAAGAAATGCCGTACCTTCATTATCAAAACTTCTCCCCCAACTTCTCTTTATTTGCTTTAGAAATTGCACCAAATTTAGTATGGTATATAAAATGTTAATAGAGAGTTAACTTTCTGTTGCATTTTTAGACACAGGCAAAGTCTGTGTCCTGCCATTTCAGAAGTGTTGTATCTTGTGATCTTGTTCTCTTGAGGGCTTTTGGAACCTCAGATGAGTAGAAAATAATTGATTTGAGGATTGGTAAAGCAGTTGCTCAAAAATTTTACCCTAATAAATTGCTATAGCTCAGTTCTTGATTTTGAAGTGTTACTTAATTTAAGCATGAATTCAGACCTTTGAAATTCTAGGGTGAAAACCTCTTTATGAATGGTTTGGGCAAAGTCTTCTAGTTAGTCTTGTTCCCTACCACAATTTTTTTTACTTTAGAGAAGATGCTAGCATAAAACCAGAAAAGATCTAATAATATAACATAAGGTTCAAACCCATGCATCATAAATGTATGCTTTTTTTCCTTTGCCCGTGAAAATTAAAACCTGACTTGGTTAAAATGTTTGCAAAGAAATAACCAAAATAAATTTTCATTTTAAATCATTTTATGTGTCTGTATCCGATTTTGCACCACTCCCCCTACTTTATTCAGGCATCTTTTGAGAAACAAGTCTGCTCTCCTTGCTCAAGTAAAATGAATTTCAGTTGTAATAAGATTCAATGCCTTTCTAGTTTTTATTTTTTGGATTTCACTTTCAAAATAGTTTTTGGCAGGGAATAAGACATTTCTATGTCTGACAACCATGAATACTGCCAAATTTGTCTGCTGTGTCATGTCAGAGGCTTAAAGTGTGAGAAAAAGTAAGTGTGAAGCTTTGGTACTGAGCCACATATGCTGACCCTTTTCTGTCTGTTAAGCATTTTTTAAATTGGTCAGAGCTCTCTAGAAATTAAAAACAAAACCCAAGCCAACAGGGAGGAACTGCTGTGCTTGACTAATTTGTACTCCAGTACAGCCAACACTCTAGTACAGCCTTTTCCTTTTGGATGTAAGGCAAAATGTTCCTAGGTAAGGGTGTTATTTCAGATGAACTTGATGAAGTTGTTCTCCAAATCAGTACTATAGAAATTAGAATCTTGCCAGTTTTTCAGGACAGCAAAACTCCAGTTAAGAATATGGAGGTTGTTCTAGATCTGAGAAAATGATCCATCTGTTCCAGCCAACAGAGTCCTGATCTGACCAGAACCAGTCAGGTTGATTAGTTGGATTGGCATTTGACATTTATTTGACATAAAATCTCAGGAAGCCTTGAATCTTAGATTAAGGGGTACCTTGACTTTTAAGTGTTTAAGAGGTGTTCTTAAACACTAAAACTTGTCAAGTTTTAGTATATCACAGTCTCTACCTATGAGAAAAGACTTTGTGTACTTCATAGTTTGTTATTTTTGAGTGTAGAATAGGGAATAGATCAGCATTACCCAATTATTCTTTCATATAACCAGGGCAGTTTATTCATCAGAATCAGTCTTGCATCATGGCTTTTTAACAGAATAGATTGGGGCAGAATATTTGTCAATACTACTTTGACAAAAGAACCCCTCTCTGTCCACAAAGGTACTACTAAATTAGTAAGGCTGAAGAAACATTGTTCATTGTGAATGTGTTACAATGTTTTGTTTTGGTTTTTTTTTGCCAAGTCATGTAGACTGAACTTATGAACCATTTGTTGCAAGCAGTTCTGATGGAAGTTTCAGGATACTGAACAGCAGATCTCTAATGTCTTGCAAACAGAAAGGTCTGTTGTACTATATGAAGTAGAAGTCACAGTAACCCACAACTGGTAGAAGAGATTAAAATAAGTTCCAAGGAGCGCTGCATGTGTCTCATGAAGTGTCACTGGGACAAAAGACCTGAAGTCAGCTATTTGTGACTCCTTAACTGTAATTGACTGGAGGGGGCTGGTGAAGTGCCATATCTTTATGTAAAATACATGAAGCATCATAAATGTATTTGCATTACAGAATTCAAAAGCCACTTCTATTCACAGTAGGATATTTTTTTTTTCTTTTTCCTAGGTTTAACAATCTGTGGACACAACTGTCTGCTAACTGCTGAATGGATGTCTGCCAGTAAAATTGTGTGTCGAGTTGGACAGGCTAAAAATGACAAGGGAGACATTATTGTTACTACGAAGTCTGGTGGCAAAGGAACTTCAACTGTTTCCTTCAAACTCCTTAAACCTGAGAAAATAGGTATATTTCTTGTTCAAATCCACATCTGTTTTCTTTGCTAAACAAATATATGTCTCAGTGTCTCTTTATATAAAATGTGTGTTTGAAATGGATCCACCTCAGGATAATTTTCTATTGTCTAGAAAACAGAGTATATCAATAAAATGTCCAAATATACGTAGAGATAAAGTCACGGTATATGTAAATTATTCCTTTCTCAATGTCCTGATAAAACCCTCAATGACTAATGCAAAGTAGCCCTTTATTTTTCTTCAAGGAGTAGCACTAAACTTCTAAACTTTAAAAAATTTAATGATAGATCCAGTAATTACTTTTAAGTAGTGTACTAATAAATTCAAAATACAAACTAACTCATGAACTTTACACCTATATCCTGACCTGACAGTTGATCCTTTAAAGAAAGTTGAGTCATCAGTGCTGTTTCTTATTCAAACCATCCTGCAAGATGGAAAGCCTTAAGTATTTTTCCTGAGATGCTTAACCGCTGAAATGATGTTGCCAAGCAGTCTAGGACCTCTGCTTAATCTAGAATCCAGTCTAAATACCCTCTGGATTGGAAATGTTTCTTTCAGAACCCCTCATTGATGAAGTTGGATAGTTATCTTTTCTAAGGCAGAAGTTCCCACAAGAATTATTTTAGGCTTTTATTCTCAGTAGTTTAGTGACAACACATAATTTATCCTGAGCTGCACTAAGATCTTAATAATAGAAAGGTGAATCAAGTGCAAATGTTAAACAGTGAAACTTTTTGTGATTGGAGAGGAGAATTTACATTTTTTAAAAAGCAGGTAAGTGTGGGGATTGAGTAATTTCTGGTACTGAGAATATGATGGGTGTGTTAAAGGATGGCAAGGCCAAGAGTATGGCTGGCTCCATTTTCAGCTGAGGTCCAAGACCTCTTGTGCCTCACCTTTATGCTTTGTCTGTGCTTACCTCTTGGATAATGAACGGCACCAAAACCCTAAAGTATGCAAATAAGAAGACTTCCAGGTAAGAGATGGTTTTGAAAGTAGTAGATGACAAGGTTTGAACAGACACCAAAAGACCTGCAAGACTGAAAATACTAATACTCTCTGATCAGGAAAATGCTCCTAATGTGCTTGAAACTGTGCAGTCTGCAAGAGGGTAATGTTTGATGCTCAGCCATGAATACCTTTTCAGCAACTGTAATAAAATAATTTAGCATAATTGCATCCAGGTTGTTTTTCCATGTATCTCCCAATATATAACCTAGGCATGCATTTTATATTTATCAGAATTTTTCAAATTAATTCAGTATGTGAGAGGTTGATGGTGCTGGACCGCCCTTGTTGTTTTAAGGATCTGCACTTTGTTTTCTCTAGGTATCTTGGATCAGTCTGCTGTCTGGGTGGATGAAATGAACTATTATGACATGCGCACTGACAGGAACAAAGGGATTCCCCCCTTGTCCCTACGTCCAGCTAATCCTCTTGGTATTGAGATAGACAAGTGAGTACCAAATACCTTTAATCCACTTTTTTAGTGGTTTTCTCTATATGTACCTTTGTTCAAGAAAATTCAAGAAAAGTTTAATGGTTTACAGGGCAGGGAAAAGTTTAGAAATTCATACATCTATTAGCTGTTGGTATGCTATTTTGAACCGAAAGGAGTTAGTGCACACAGTATCCTGCTTCATAATCCTCTATTTTAAACCATCAATTAGAGCTGTAGATAATCTAAAAGACTGATTGAACGTCAGTGATGTTTAGATTTTAAGGATTGGTAAATAACCTGAGGCTTCAGATTTATACATTGTAGTTATGGAATACCTACTGTTGCATTTGAGTTTCACGGGGCTTTTAAACATGTTTAGATTGCTATCTTGTGCTAAAATTGTACTGTAAAATGTAATTTATTATGCTACATCAGCTAGTTTATTTTACTGAAATATTAATACTGTTTTCCAACCCACAGTCTTCTTTACTTTTGTTCTTAAGTATGGTGGAATTTATGTAATTTTTGTTCTAAAATTGAAACTTGATATTGAATGATAAATGGAATTAGGGGGGTTTAAATGGAACAGTCTTAGGGCTCCATATCTGTCCGACTCCTAAAAATAGCATTAGGAATAATATTTCTCTTGATCAAGATACCAGCTCTACCAAAACCACAGGCTATTTAAAAGTAACCTATTGCTAAGGTCTCATCTGCTGAATACTCTGTTTATGAGGGGTAGTGCATTGAAGAAAATCTACACTGTCCATTGTTACCTTGACCTGATGGGAAAGCTGCACTTTGCCAAAATCTCAGTGTGATTTCAAGTGGATCCATCTTTGCCTTCGAACCTCTGGTTATGCATTTCTCTCCTAGTTTGAATATGTATTTTTCTTTCTTTTCAAACTACTAACCCACTTTTTTTGCAACAAGCAGAAGATTTTGTCTTTTTGGTAGTATTTTTCTCTAGCCTCTGATTTAACTTCTGACAGGTACTTGTTTCATGTTCTTCAGTTTTCCAAGCTCTGATAAGATATGGACCTTAGGACTGTGGACAGTATTCTGACATCTTACTAGAAGACTTCCTGTCACTCCTCAACTCTCCCTGCCTTGTCTGGAAATTAAAAAACCCATAATAATACTTTTTATCACAATGCTGCACTGGCAATAAGCAGTGAGTGGTTTGTTAGCTGATGCTCTTGAGTTGCTGCTTTTGCTGCTGGTATGGTTGCTCATTGTTCTGTAACAATTCTCTGGAATTTATTCTTTATTCTAGCTGCATCTTCTTGAATTTGTTCATACTGCTTCTGTTTGTTGCTTCCTTGACAAGTCTGTCTTCTCAGTCCAGATGACAGTCTTCCTAATGTTTTTACCAACTATTTATAAAAAATTGTTGGTGATAAATCTGTTAAATCCTGTTGAAAAGGTTATGTAGGCCTTAGTGAATCTTTACCTACAAATGTTCTCAGGCTGCTTCTCCATGGATTTGTTTAATTTTGGGGTTTTTTTTATGATTGGTTCCTTAATCCATGTAATGTATTCTATTGCTAAATTTTAATCAATCTTGTGGTAGCAAGTCTCCGTAATGATATATTAATTTTGTCTGGTTACTTTTTCAATGAAGCACTTAATCTCAAAACACATATAATATGTTCTCAAACATTGTCAGAAGCAGTTGTGACTGGCTAACATTAAAACTGTTTTTCTTTACTTCAGTCCTATACTCCTTGAACACATCTTTTTCAATATTTTATCTGGGATTTAAGTCAGATAACTTGTTCTTTTAATTGGAGTGACTGGGATTTAAGTGTACAAAAGGTTTGAACTGTGAATTAAATATATGGATATAGATATATCTATAGATATACCTATCTGAAATAGATAATAGGAGAGCTAAAAAGTTTTATTAATAATTACAAAACTGCCTCTAGATATACTGTAGGAGTAACATGTATGCTCAAAATATGCACTGGAATTCTCTTTTTGTATTGAAATGTTGCAACAATGCAAAGAAAGAACTATGGGTATATACTCATCCTCCTGACTGTTTTTTATATAGTCAAGATATTTTAAATACTATATGTAGAAACAATGTACAGGCCATTATCTTTCATCCTGCAAGTTTGACAAGTTGTAAGTATACATAATTTCTAGCTGATTATTTCTTCATATTTTCCAAAACTTAATTGCAGTTCTTGTGTCATGCAACTAACTAAGAATCTCAGTAGCTAAATAAAAAATTAATTTAAATCACAATGAAATGTGAGCTTGCTGGATGTTAAAGTCACAAATGTTTTTGTAAAAGGGTGTTTGCACACATTTGTTCTCCTGCCTTCCTAGCAGTTTTTCATTCATCTTTTAAAACTGAGAACTGATCCAATCAGATAAGGGATTTTTGGCATTGCTGTACCTTAGTGCCTGTTGTGTGTGTGCTGTGAGGTATTTATTTCCCACCAGAAAATAGGCATTTAAAAAGATTAAATAATCTTTGAGTTCTGTTTTTTTAATTTGCAGAGTGGGGGAAAAAGACTCAGTTCTATCTCCATCTTTATGCTCACTTTAAATGCAATGCCGGGCTGTGCCACCTTTCTCTTCCTGGCTGTGGTGTTACACAGATGTTGCCAGGAACCCTTGAACAATCACAGCTGGAAAAGATCTCCAATATCATGGAGTCCAATCTTTGCTTGATCACTATCTCATCAACTGAACCATTGCACTAAGTGCCATGTCCAGTTGTTTTTTAAACACTTCCAGTGTTCAAGACTTCCACCACCTCCCTAAGGAGTCCATTCCAATTCCTGATCACCCTTTCAGTGAAGAAATTTTTCCTGATGTTCAATCTGAACCTCCCCTGGTGCAGCTTGGTGCTATTTCCTCTTGTCCTATCACTAGTTGCATGGGAGAAGAAGCCGACTTCTGCCTCAGTACCTCCTTTCAGGTAGTTGTAGAGACTGATAAGGTCTCCCTTGAGTCTTTCCTCCAGCTGAACAACCCAACTCCCTCAGCTGCTTCTCATATGACTTGCTCTCTAGACCCTTCACCAGCTTCATTGCCTTTCTCTGAACATGCATCTTTTAAAACTCATCTCAGTGTCTTTCTTATAGTTAGGGGCCCAAAACTGAACACAGTACCTGAACACAGTACTTGAGGTGTGGTCTCACCAGGGTTGAGTAGAGAGGGACAATCGCTCCCCTTGTCCTGCCGGCCACACAGTTTCTGATACCAACCATGATGCCACTGGCCTTCTTGGCCACCTGGGCACTCTGCTGGCTCATGTTCACCAGCTGTCAGCCAACATCCCTAAGTCCTTTTCTGCCAGGCAGCTTTTCACCTGCTCTTCCCCAAGTCTGTAGCATTGCATGGGATAGTTGTGACTCAAGTGCAGGACTTGGCATTTGGCCTTGTTGAACCTCATACTGTTGGCCTCAGTCCATCAATTCAGCCTGTCCAGATCCTACTGTAGAGCATTTCTAGCCTCCAGCAGATCAACACTCCCACCCAACTTGGTGTCATCTGCAGACTTACTGAGGGTGCACTCAATCCCCTCATCCAGATAATTGATAAAGATATTAAACAGGACTGGCCCCAATACTGAGCCTTGGGGAACCCCACTAATGACTATCTGATACCTGGAGGTAACTCCATTCACCACCTCTCTCTGGGCCCAGCCAGCCAGCCAGTTTTTAATCCAGTGAAGACTGCACGTCTCCAAGTCAAAGGCTGCTAGCTTTACCAGGAGAAGTCTTAAATAAGGAAGGAAGAGAAAGAGTGCACAGAGTCATCGTCTCAGCCTGAGACATGTGAAACTTGGTATGAAAACGCGGACCTTAGCAGTGATGTGGCAGTACATGGGTTGGTTTTAGTAGTTTGGAGCTATTGGTAGGTTATGTCCTACCAACATAGGATCATTCAGAACTTTGAACGATTCTGGGAGAGAGTATGTGATGCCTGTGTCCTAAAGATAATGGTTGAAATCTGGCGGTGGAAAATTTAGATCTACATAAAATTTATGGGTGAATTGCTTGTTCCAGTGTACTGCAAACTTTCCCCTCTTGCACGACAAGTCCTTGTTTAATCAAGGGTTCCCTGACTCTTCTAACTACTCTGTCAGACTAAGAAAATCCATTCTCTGCAAAGCTGTAACAGCAGTTGGATCTAGCGGAGGTTAGAAAATTTTTAAATAGTGTTTGTTGTTTTGCATGTAGCAGAGGTCACTATGGTGGATCCATCTCATACATGAAAGCAAATGCTGACATGCTAAGTACATTCCACATCTGTATCCACCCACTCAATACAGATGCTTCCCTCTTCCCACGCCAGTTTCCAAAACACTTCATCTGGGAGAAGGAAACAGATGATCTTACGCTGCCACCTAATGGTAAACGTCAGCCTGCTACCATGACATAGGAAAAGACTTTCTGGAGGCTGAGATGTTTATTTATTTTTAAAGGGCTTGTGTGGAAATGCTGTAAAGTTCGTTGTTGAATGTGATGGGCTTGTGGAAACTTGATCAGAGAGATGCATGCAGAAAAATTGTGAAAGCTGTAGAAGAGTTGCAGTATATATTCCTAGCTTTATGACATTAAAAAATAAAATAACACGTAACTGCTTGTTAAGCTGATGCATCGGTTGCAGCCACCAGCCTATAATCTCTTAGTAGACTTCCCTTACCACATTCTGCCAGTTCTCAGATATGATTACCACTTTGTTTTTATATTTCTGATGAACCCAGTGCTACTAGGGAGGAATTGCCAGAGTGCATCCTTGTCTTGTTGCTGTTGGAGAGACCTTTGTTAACACCTGATTTGTTGTGTTTAGTCTACAGCAGTGTCCCTTATGCTGGTCTTCTTGCACGCATTATTAACACAGTACAGCTGATACAAAGCCAGCTTCAAGGAGTCTGACTGGTACCAGACAGAGGGGGGAGTGTACAGCAGCTCTAGCTGGAGCTTGTTTATGCTGGTTGCTATTCAGAATCTGTGTTTATTTAAAGTCAGTTGCTCCTTTTGACCCGTAAACTCCTGTGGAATTGAGGTGAGGTTCAAGTTACCTTTTGGTGGCTGTATTCTGTCTTGGGACCTACCTTTAATCTGCAAATATTGTCACATGCTAAAAAGCACACTATGAGATTCTGAAATTCTGGGAGCGAAATAATTTGTACAGAAAAATTACAACTTGCTAAACTGTGTTTATAGTCAGGCTCTGTTCATTAGTATCCATTGCATCCTGTTTCTCTTATTTGCTTGTGTGATTGGAGCTGCGATTTACCCATGGAGATTACAACTAATCTTAAATCTCTGGAGAATATAAATGCTCTTTATGTGCACAAGTTCTGTAAAAGCCAGTATATGCTGTGCTCTTAAAGTAGGTTTATTGACTATTAAGCTATACAGAACCTGAAGTTTGAGGTAGTAGAAGGATGGGCTCATATGGCACAAGTGAATTGTTTGTATGCTACATGTTTTGAATCCAAAGTAGGTGTGCATGACCTTTATATGGAAGCAAGGACCACTACATTAATGCTATATGACTCTATTAGATATGCACCAAATTGGTTTGAGGGAAGTCGAAGTGTATAATGGCTTGAACCCAAATTTGTTTTATTATACTTCTCGTTAATATACCCAATATGCAAAATCTCATTTTCTTTTGTATTTAAAATTGTTGCTGAGGGATGAATAAGACTATTTTAAAGTATTAACTGTAGGTCTAATACCAGATATGATTCTGTTTTACATTAAATAGTGTGCCTAGAAAAAAGTACTACTATGTAAATCCAGATATTTGTACCTTTGCTGTAATTGTAAAGGTAGCAAAATACATAAGAGTTGTTGAGGATCGCAAACTTCACTCTTTTTCGGAGATTTTCTGGATTCAATTTGTGGCTCCCAGTTTCTTTTACATGATTACTTTTTAATAATGATTAAGTATTCAGAGTTGCTTCCTGAAGGGATTCTTGTATAATGAGCAAATCAACAGAAAAATGATCAATAGTTTAATTGCATGTCAGCATGGTTTAAGCTTTTGTTAGTAGTTCATCTTCACCCTGTAATTCTGAAAAGAATAAAATAGCAGTACTTTCTCAAGACACATATGGGCTTGTTTATAAGTAAACAGTAAGTTTTCATGAGAACAACTTCCAAAAACTGACTTATTTAATTTACTAATGGAAGTTAATGAAACAAACTTGTGTGTATGTGGAGTCAGCCAGTCTCTTTTTAGATGCATCTGGCCAGACACTCTAGAAATACAGTTGCTTTCACTTTGAGCATTTTAGCGAGCAGTTTGTTGTGAAGACAGCTGTAGCAAGTCATTCCAAGCTCCCCATATCTGTTAGTGGAAAAACTACTGGTAAAATTTACGATAAAAATAAGGATACTATACCGTGGAGTATAACATATTGTTAACATACCTCACACATTCACATTCATGTTTCTACTCTGTTGTGACTATGTCTGAAATATGTCCTCACAGATAAAAGCATTGTTAATTTATGGTTCTACACAAATGCATCTGCTGGAAGAAAGCTCCTAATAACTTTTCAAGACAGTCAAACATCAAATTGAAAAAAATCCCTTCATTAATATCCCGCTGCCTGTGGGCAAGATTCATTTGCAGGAATTGATTACTCGTCTAGCTTGGTCTTTCTCAAGATAAATATGTGTTTGTGTGTGTGTGTATATATATATATATAACAATAGGGCTTTTTTTCCCCTAGGAATTGTATAGTTCACATCTTATAAACTTGCAATAATAAGTAGCATTTGATAATGGTAAATGTGTGTGCTTTTTGTCTTATATCAGTTTTTTTTTGTTTCTGGGAACATGCATGGAAGTTCTGAAAAATATGAGCAAAACTCTACTTCTGTATTGTGTGCATCCACTTTAAGTAGTGCTTGCACAGAATGTCTGAGTCTCTTCTCAGATAACTCAGATTTATTTTCTTGCTTTTGTTTTTTCAGCATTAAAAAACATAGTGTTTCAAAAAGATGCTACCTTGTGTAGATCTAATATAAACGCTTTTATGTACAGCTGTACCGTGTATCACATATGAAGTACTATCCTTGAAGTTCATGTGCCTCCTGGGCACTTTTGACTAATTTGAATGAAAAATAAGTAATCTTAAGTTTTCTTCAAATGAAGAATGAATTGAAAGTTTCTTCTCATTCTTATATAAATCAGCAGTTTCTGCTTACTGTCATTCATGAAATTTAAGGTAATTGGAAATGCTCAATCTTGCTACTTAAGTTTTTAAGTTTTGGTTTAACATTATCACTTTTTCATTGAACACAGAGAAATACTGGGACCCTCATTTTTGGTTGCTACATTTGTTTCTCACACTATTTCCCCTGTATCTCTACTTTTCATATCTGTCATCACTTTTCCTTGCATCTCATTTGATTTTTTTTTTCTGGTTTTTAAAAAGTGTTGTTTCATGCTCCTGCTGTAATCAGGTGCTACTGATGAAAGACTTCTGTGCCATGTCATTGTGTACGTAAGTCCTTTGTACCTGGTTGTGCTAATGGCCATTTCGATAGGAAAAGAAACTTCCAGAAAACAGCTCTTCCGCTATATAATTGCACTTTTTAATGCGCCTGCCTTTAGATTTGTTTCACTTAATCTACTGTTTGGTTTTTGTAATAAAAACAACTTTAACTATCGTGAAACATGTTTAGATTATGAAAAAACTTAAACTAGTAAATTGCTGCTTTTGTGTCCATATAAATGGCTTTTCATATGTATTAAATGTAATTCTAATAACTGACTCTGGGTTGCTGCCACCACCCAAGTTTTCTCTCAAATGCAAAGTGTGGCAGATTTGCATTTGCATACAGTATACTTTACATAGCAAAGTTCACCTAACTTGTGAGCATCAGAGAGGGATTTTATTGACTTTTGAGATGAATGTTGTGATCCAAAAATGGCATAATAAATTTTTAGAATAGATAATATTTCAGTTGGAAGTGACATAAGTCCATCTAGTCCAACTGACTGACCAGTTCAGGGCTGACCAAAAGTAAACTTGCTTGCCACGATTAGCTTCTGAAGATGGGGTGCAGCTGGTGGTAAAGAATAAAGGGAGGAGTGCACCTGGTGATGTACTGCCAAGGCGTGGTGGAATGAATACGGCCAAGTGCTGAGTGTGTGTCTGGACTGAGGGATCAAAATTGTTATGTTCTCATCAAAAAGTGCTTTAAATATTTTTATTACACAGTCTTAAAACAACTGGAATACATTTTCCATATGAGTATCTTAGAAACTGTAGTTTTAAAAATGCTGTTGTGGAGAATGTGTTTTCACAAGGAATTGCTTGTGAAAAAAATCACATGCTTTTTTTATGCATTTGTAAGACAATAAAAACTAATGAAACAGGCTGGCTGTCACTTGGGATGTGTCTGGTTTTCTTGTGTTTTGTGTACTATGAACAGGCAGATCAATGTATTCTGTTTTGCAAGAGAATTATTTTAACTCAGGATTTCTTTCAGTGTTTGTATGTAGTGGAAATATGTACTATCTCCCTTCATGTTTCTCTGACTTCTGCTGCACAGGGATCAATAGACAGTGATGGTTAGAGATCACTTACAAGCTGTTAACCTGTTGATGTTCTGCCATTTTAAAGTTAAATAGAAGCATTTTGTACAGAACACATTTCTGTCATATGTGTAATGGTGAAATCAAACTGGTAAAATTAGTTTTACTTAGATTAGATTTCAGTCTTCCCCGGTCAAGCTACATGTGTCTGTAATAGCAGATTTAATTTCATGGTGAGATACAAGTTTATATTTCCATCTTACAGGAAAATGATTTGGGTTTTATGTTTTTGTTGGTTATTTTTATGTGACTTTTAATTGTAAACTGTTCACAAGACTGTGTCTCAGTGAAGAAATGAATATTCATTTTTCAGGGGCAGATTTCCTCAAAAAGATTTGGAGTCACTGTTTCCTGGGATGAGTGCTGATTTCACAAGTGAAAACTTTTCTGCAGCCTGGTACCTCATTGAGAATCATTCAACAACAAGGTTTGTTTCTATCATATAAGTAACTGCTTTAAATGCAAGGCAGTTGATGGTATTTCATTATACAGCAGATGCGACATTGGTGGTTTGCTTTTACAGTAATAGACCTGTAGTCACTGTTGTCTCTGCGTGACTAAAACTTGAATCAACCAGTTTGCTCAATGTGCTTCTGAAAAAAACTTCATTCTGAACAACACCTAATTTGTGGTGGGTTCCCCCCCACCACCTCTCTGAAAGTCAGATGGAAGCTGTCTTTCTTCAGACTAAAGCCCTTTATGAATCAAGAAATTAGGCACCTGGCCTAGAGTGGAAATTCCATGTGTTAAGTCATGACTAGAGGCACAGGATAAGGGCACTGAACAGATAACTAAAACTGTTACTAGTATCAATTAGTTTTTAGTTAACAGGTAATACTTGTGGAAAATGCTATAATAATGAGTGCTGGACAAGTGAGTAGGATCTTTGAAGTAAATCCCTTAAAATCTTGGCCATTAAATCTTAACTTTTAAATAAAGTTCATAATATGTACTTACATGAATGCATTACAGAAGTATATTTTTGCAAGTCTAACTCAGTTCGGAAATTTTGATCTGCTGGTGTTTGGATAATGCTAGAAGTAATTTTTAGTAGAGAGGATGAGTTTTTTTGTGAGTTTTTTCTCTTTTAGCTGGGTATTCTGATTAGCATTTTAAAAGGAAATATCACTTTTCAAATTTATTTAACATACTTTTTTTTCGGTCTAATGGTAGGTAGACCATTATCTATCTGGGATGGGGGAAATGCAGGTTTTAGGAGCTCTAGAAATAACCATTAATCTACTTGGGAAATAATTGAATTTCCTCTCAAAATGATGGCACACTGAAGGACCAGAACAACAGCTAGAGAACGTTATTACCTAGTATACACGTAGTGACAGCATCATTTGAAATCAAGTAACTAAGAGGAGTGATTAAAAATTTATTCTATTAGATTCTGACAGATAACTTCAGGAATCATCAAGTTTTTAAAAAAACTGAGGGGATAATAAAGTGAGAAGGAACTGAGAGTGAGAACGCATTTGATGCAGTTTTTCTTTTAATAATTCTTTACATTTGGCACTTGAACTGTTGCCGTTTTGTTGCTCGTTCATGTGGGCACCAGTGACACTGCCAGGAGAGATGCAGAACCGAGCAAGAGTGATTGCAGAGTCCTGGGGACAAAAGTGAAGAGCACATGAGCTGTTGAAGGGGAAAGCTTCAGGTAATAGGGGATGCATCCTGTAGATTCACAGGTGGCTGTATCACTGGTTTCAAAGGCAGCCTTTTTTTACTTTTGCAGCCAGATCCATGACTAAAGAGCAAAGACTGCTAGTGAGAAATGGAGTTCATTTGAAAACGTGGGGCAGGAGCATCTTTGCCAGTGGGTTTGCACTTTGGTGACAAAGACTTCAAATTCAAAATATTGGGGGATGCTGATAACTGCTTGCAGTTAAATGAAGGCACAGAGTGCTACCTGTGTGGTTCAGTAATGGCACTGAGAGTGCTGCTGGTAGTTACAAAACCAGTTGGAAGCATCTAATCTCGAGTGTCTTTACACACTCACATGCTGCCCTGGAAACAAGTATGAGGAGACGGAGCTCAACAGGTGGGATTAGACAAACATATCACTGGAATAAAGTGGGATAGCTGATGTGCTTGCTACTCTGTGGTGGATGGGAAGAGGCCACCTGAGAAAGATACCCAGGAGAAAGGATAGGGACTTGACCTTCATGTGAAGGTACAGCTTGAATAAATACATGGTTCCTCTTATGGAGCAGGATGGTTGAGAGCTTGTTCAGGAGGCTGGAAGGGGTGACATTACAGTGGGATGAGGAATTGAACAAAATTTTCATTTAGCCTCTTGAGGAAGTTTCCAGAGAGCAGACCCTGTTTTTTGTAGAAGACTTTAAGGTCCCTCATATTTATAAGAGGGGAAACAATCCAAGAGGCTTATGGAGAGTTTTGGGAATGACTTCTAACTTACCTGTTTAATGGGCAGTCAGGGGTGCTACTTTCCTAAATCTGATTCTTGAAGGCAAGGCAGAGGATGTGATAACCAGTGACAGCCTTGGCTGTATCAATTATGGGATAGTGGAGTACAAGACTCAAAGAGCTGTGGGGAAGGCAAACGGTGGACTACACACCTGTGATTGGACAACAGTCATACAAAAGAAAATCCAGTGTTTGTAACATGCCATTAAATACCAGTTGACTGTCTAGTGCAAATCATCTTCTGGGGTGTATCAGCAAGAATGTGTTAGGTAAGATATGGGAATAATTGTTCTGTTTGGCATTATTAAAACTGCAGCTGAAGTGGTCTGCTCAGCTATGGCCACTGCTTTAAGAAAGATATGAGAGCTGAGCCACAAACCCAGGAGCATATAAATACTGGTGGCTATACAGCTTGAATGAGTTAGGTGCTTTCAGAAAAGAAAAGAAAAATCTAACACTTTGTCTAGTATCAGCTTCAGTACTTCATCTTTCTCGCTGAAAAAATTGCATCTATTTGTGTCTTTGCATGTCAGCAGTTTCAAATCATGGTCCCATGAGTCCAGTGGAATAAAAAGTGTTAATTTTTGCTTTTAAGTGAAGCAAATGGGTTTTTTTGCATATTAATTCAGTTTATATTGATTTATAAAATCCACATCTTAGTGTTGAAGATGCAAAAGCTGTGTGAAACTCAACAGGAATAAATGCTCAAAGGGTACAGTGGATCCAGTCATATTTTGAATCTAATTATATTTTTAAATAAAGAAGCAGCAAAAATGTTTTGGTTGGTGTTTTTCTCTTCCCACTTCAAAATTGTAATCTTAAAAATATTCTGGAGTTGTATAAATATCTGTTCTATATAATTTCTGCTGTTTTTCTGGAAACACAGCAATGGTTTAGTTCTTGTCCTCTGTGTAACCTCAGGTACTGGGAGTGCTAAATGTGTGGTGCACTGATGTTTTGGTTAGCTTATGTCTGTTTTTTCTTTGAAGAACATTCTTTTTGAGAAATCAATATAACATCTTTTTTATCAATTTTTTTTTTTTTACTCCAGACAATATCCCGACAAATATAATTGAACTATTTAGACATACTGTTAGATCATCAGATAACATAGAACAGTGCTTAAGAGGAGAACAGTACATATTTTTGTTAGTTTGAAAGTGCTGCTGGTAAGTACTTTTTGTAAGCCCAAGTAGACCAATCCAGCTGTTGAGTAATGTGATTTCTGTCCAGCAGATGGAAACAGGAAATAAGGCATAATACTGTGACATCACCAGTATAAAAAGAAAAATGCTTCTAGGTGCACCAGTGTGCTCTGTCTCCCAGCAGGTGGTGATAGGCTTCTTACTGCTTGAGCTAAACTTTGGTTTGTTCTCTTAATGGTCTTTTTCCACCAACTCTTTTTAAAATGGGCACAGTATTGGTGGAATTGTCTTATGTCATAATTTCCTACTTCATTGTTTCCCTCTGCTCACTAAGGTATAGTGTAGTTTTTTATTTGATTCTTTTGTATTAGAGAGAGGGGGTTGACCTGCAGTTAGGTGGAAAGACCTTAGAGATGAAAGTCATGTGCTACATTTGTATTTCTGAGCTTGTTCATGGTGGTATTTTTATAGTAAATACAGTAGTATAACTACTGAGATCACATTCATCATCAAAACCAAAAAAAATTATATGCGAATAATGACATTTTCTTCACAGCATAAGACTTCTCAAATAAGTGCAGCTACTTTCAAAAAATGAAAATGTGAAATGAAATGTAAAGTGTCAGTAATCAAGAAATATTAGGAAACTAAGATAAAAAGAAAGCTACCATACAAACAGTGATGATGAGTTGCAATTAATATTCTCCTATGAAGTGTCTTTCAAAAATATTTCAGTAGACTACATATAAAAATCATATAAAGCAGGAATGGGTTTAGCTTTTCTTTATTTCTACACTAATATAGCATTCAATTCTGAACTGTATGTTCAAACCAACGTAAAAATATTGAATGAAAAGTGAAAAAGGGTTGTGCACCAAGCTGCAGAGTTAAACAGATGTCATTATTAAAGAGATTTCTAACCTCAGTAGATAATCTAATGTACTAAGTTTAGTAAATTATCCAGTCACCTATTTACTACAGTACAGACAGTTCACTAAGAGCAATATTGCATGTGTAGAAGAAACTTATTGACTAATTTGTATTATAAGGAGATCTCTTCCATCACAAGTGATAGGAACCCTCCATTTAGGATTGAAACTGAAAAAATAAGATTTGTGGACTAAGAATAAACAGTCATTATTTAAAAGCACACTCATTAGCAAATACTTGGCCCATAGTAGTTGTTCTGAAAGTATCTGGTTTTATTTTCCAAGTAGTTTGTTCTGTTTATTCATTAGCTGACTTTATTTGTTGTTTGAATGTCATGGAGGTTTCCTTTTTTTGTTTTCAGTTTTGATCAGCTCAAAACGGCTGTTGTGAATTTGAAGAAACAAGCCAATAAGAAAAATGAAGGGAGTCTAGCTTATGTCAAAGGAGGTCTCAGCACATTTTTTGAAGCACAAGATGCTTTGTCAGGTAAAGATACTTTGCACTTACTAAATACAGTATAAAAGGAAAGACTATGTGCATGTATGGTTGCATTTCATATTAAAAATATAGTTTTCCTTCACAGCCTATACTGAAAGTGTTAATGAGCCCAAAATCTGTGTTGTGTTACTGGAACTGGCTAGCTGATTGTTGTGGTATACTTGCAAAAGATGGCATCAAGTGTATCTTACAGGAATTGGAGGCATTTGATGAAACTGCTTAGACCACAAATGCAGGAAAGAGAAGAAATGTTAAACTGGAGATAATGTTGAGATGACTTGCAAACTGTAGCAACAGAAAACTTGATTTTATGATGCCTTATCCAATAGTCAGATGGTAATATTTGTATGAATATTAAGTTCACTCTTACTTTGGGGAATCAGACAGCCTTTATATTCTGTTTGCCATTGGGAAAATGAGGTTATCTTAGTTACCATTTCAATATATATGTTTATGTTTATTTTATACACACACGCACACGCTTTTAAAGCATAAAGTGTCTCTCCAGTAAGAGCTCAGTGTGGGCTGCTGTAGTCCAGTCTAGTTTGGCTGGATAAGAAAGCAACAGTGTCCAGTAAACCATCCCTAATAGGTTTGTCATTTGCCACTATGCTGATTCTCTCTCCTGGTCACAGATCCTGTGTTACAGGTACATGGAGTAAGGAAGCTTATATCTAGGCATAGCCTCAGCCAAGCTAACACTGTGGTTGGCTGTAGGATCACTGCTTTTGGAGAAAAAGTAGTGCTGACAGACATATGTGTTACCTTGTAAGTTTATTTTTTGGATCAGCAAATACCTAGTAGGATTTACAGAAAGCTAAGGCAAACCTTAAATGTGAGGTTTTAGAAAGACTGAACACAACTGAGTCATTTTCTCTTGTTCCAACTATTAAAGTGTAGGCTTTTTGCCTTTGAAGACTGATTTTTGGCTAAATTAAGAGGTCTGAGAGCAAGTAGAAACTTAAAAAATATTAATAAAATAAAAGCAGGGAAAGCAAATTTATTTATTTCATTAACTACTATATTATCGGGTTTTTTTAAAATTATAATAGCTGTATATTTTTTTTGCATCTCTTATCTTTATCAGTGTTATTTTTACCTGAAATTGGAGTTTATCAGTGCAGTCCTTTCAGCTAAATTATGAACTCAAAATTTGGGGTGACTCAAGTGGTTCTTGGTGCCACTTGGTTTTGTCTTCCCCTCAGTGATTCCTCTAAGTGCTCAAAAGGAAGCAGACTTGTAGCTTGTGTTGTTATACAGTGAATTAAATTGGTACAACAAATGACTGGCCTTGATGCTGTTATAAAAGAAAAACAGAGACTTAAAGCCTTAATCTCTTATAAAATTCAAAACTGTAACACTGGCGTTCAAGTAACTCATCCATACACTATTTAGTTTTTAAATTCTGAAACCAGATTCTTAATGAGGATGCAGTACAGGTCTTAACTGCCTTCTGTAACATTTTAATGGATACTTTTCTGTCGAAATTTCATATTAAATGCATGTACCAAAGTGGTTTTGCTTCTTTTCAGTCAAAAAACCTACCCTTATTACATATGAATTTCAGCTTGGAATGCGGAACTACTTACTTACCCTTTCTTCCTTCGTATGCAGGATTTTTTTGAGAGAATGTAGCTGGAAAAATTGCATAACTTTTGAAAGACTTGAACTTGTGGTAGATACAATCAACTCTTAAGTTGAATGTGGAGAGGCTTCCAGTAGTAGCAAGAAAAAGGGATACCTTTGATGCCATCATCTAACCCTTCTGCCAGATGTCAAAGCTTTCTCCAGAACATTTGATCACTGCAGTTTTCTCAAATGAAAGAGGACAAGAATTAAGCATAAGCATTATTAGTATTGTTCTAGAGAAACAGCTCAGATGCAAATTTAAAAAAAACCTTAACAACAAAACTGCCAAACTAAAAAATGCAAACAAACAAAACAAATTCTTCAGCATGCAGTTATAAATTCAAGCTTTTTAACAGAAGAACATTAAATTAAAAATCCAGTTATACTCTGTCTAGACAGTGTTTGTGCACATGATGGCACTTTCCCACCTTTACACATGTGAGGGTGAATTTGTATGTCTCATTTTCTCCTTTAAAAATATACATACAACACAATATTTTTGAAATGCATTTTGACAAAACTACATGAGGAATAGTTGATATTTGAAAGCTTATTTCAGCACAAACTCTTAGGGATGTAACCATTGTTCTGCAAACTTATTATTTGAGGCCGAGCATACAATTGTCATAGATGAAAAGGGACTCAAAGGAAAATCATTATTGAATGTATTTATTCTACCTTCCAGTATGATTTAAATTTTCCGAATTCGTTTTGGTTTGGATTGTTTTTTATCTTGCTTCCTTTGGGAAGATTTCTAATATCTAATTTATTTTCTAAAGATATGTTTTTCTTGAGGGCAAAAATTTAGACTCCCAATTTTCTTCTTCACATATCTTGAAACACATCTTCTAACCCCAGTGGTTATGCTTTATAAGCTGCAGATCTATTCCATTGTTATTACAGAATGGAGTTCTCATAGGCAGTTATTTCTCATAGGTTTCCCTAAATTAGTACAGGATGTTACTTTTTGTAGGATCATTTTAGGAGGTGCAACACTTGCTTTACCAAGTATTGCATATTCATCTATTTGCACAGCTTTTGTACATGTTTGTTTTTTTTTTTTTTAACTCATACAGATTTAACAAGGTTATTTTCAAATATATTACCTTGATCTAGGAAACCCTGAATTACTGATTATTGTGCAGCTTTTAGTTGGGACACAGTCAGATCAATTTGATCTTAAGCTTGCTATCAGACTGTATTACACATTTAAATGAGTATTAATATTTTCACAAATAAGCAATGGAAACCTTAAAAAGCAGTCCTAAGATGTTTATTGTATTTTGTGATTTAGAAACTGTTTACTAAGAAAATAGGAGCTCAAATAGGCCAGAACCCTTGGTTGTTTGGTTTAATTTCTGGGAAAATAGAATTACCTTATCAGATCCTCATGTCTCTCTGCCTGTTAGCTTGGCTGACAGTTTGACAGTGACTCTGCTGCAGAGGAGATGTTCAACAGGAAGTTTGTTTCATCAGCTGAAGGGAGCTGTAAACTGAGCTGAGGGGAACAGGGCTCACCTCAACTTGACCCACTTGTCAGCATCAGGGAGTTCAGCTCATTTATTTCCTGTAATTCTAATTGCAACCAAGAAAGTGGCATTCCTAAAAGGTTGGCTGTTTATATGTTTGTAGTTAAGACATGATTTATTGTCATGAGCAAGTCACGTTCCACACAGAGGTCTTTGGGAAGTTGGCAAATTAATTTTCTTTGAATATACTTTTTTAGAAATGCTCTTTGCTCTTAGGCCACAGTTTCTTCTTATTTAAGTGAAAGGAAAAAAGTTGGGAAATGACTACTTCAGTCGTTCACTTAGGCAAAAACATGCAAGTATGACAGTTGTATTGGCAAGTAAAGCTGTCTTTGAAACATGGATATCTTGAATAAGTTTGAGGTTTAGATTTGACTCTCTAGTGTGCCATGGCAACAGTGCTTGTGCAATTACAACTGCAGACACATTTTACACGATTGTCAGGAAGAAATCTGTACGAAAGCAGCACTGCTGGCTATTACAGCACTGTTCCTTTTTTCCTCTTCCCAACCCGGTTCAGATGTGTAGCCTATGGGAATACCTGTATGATGGGCAACTTGGACTATAGTTGGCCTTTTGTCTACTACCTTACTTAATACATAAGCTAGGATAGTGTTTACCTGGTTGAAATGATCTTATATCTGGTTGATGCCTGGTTTTTTGATTTGGGTTTTTTTTTTTCTTCCTATAGAGTATTTTTGCTTCATCCCCCTAAGGCTTATTCTAGGATGAGCACGTTAATGATCCAGGATCAGATTCAGTCCAAATTAGCCTATGCTGTTGCCATTATGCCTGTTAAATTAATTTTATCTGAAACTAAAACAAAAGAAATCACCTAAGCTCTATTAAATTCTGAGTCGGAGTGCGAAGTTGAGAAGCTAAAAACTGATGCTTGTCTGTCATAAAAATGTCCCTTTGCTTCTGACTTTTGAGGAAATCTGTTATGTTTCAACTAAAAGGGAGTATATAGAGCCAATTTTTCATTAGTGATTCTGTTTTCAAACTAGACTGATGAATAATTTTGAAGTGGTTTGCTTTTGTCCAATTAAATGCTAGTCGATGACTGGTTGTGCTTGGTAGCACAGCACGAGTATGGTATACCAGGTTTTGCCGTTGTCACGTTGCTGTTTTGTAACAAATCTAATTCACACTTTTCTTTACTTCACTCTCATGTATATTTTCCCAGATAGTAATAATTTTTATTAAACCTGACAAAGGAGTGACAGTAAAGTATGCTAATGGTGGTAGGTAGTTTAGTCTTGGGTGAGTGCTTCCTTTTCATGCAAGACCTGTGATCAATTTCTCTAGCAAACCAGTTTTTATTTTAATGCAACTCTATAAAAGCAAAAGTTATGTGATCTTCATTGATAAAAGGCTCAAACTAGCCTTTCATGCAGGTTCTAGCATGGGATTGTCTGGGGAGTGTTTTTTGTCTCAAGCAAGAGATGATCTGATTTGAAAAAGTGTGAAACAGCAGGAGTTGTCACAGTCCATAGTGAAAATTCTATGCCCAGGCTTGTACATGCTTTTATGCTGACTGCTCATGTATCTGCTTTGAAATCAGTAATTGTTTTAGAGATGTGAGCTAATTACTAGAGGAATTTGTCAAAATGGGTGCAGTTATGGCAGCTTATAGCTGCAAAAAATTACCTGTAATTACATTTGAGCCAGACTTAACCTGCAAGGCATAACACCAGCTTAATTGCACGATACATTGTTCCATTGTGATTTCCATACCACTTTTTAAATGCATGCAACATTTAAAAGCTGCTTTTATTTCTTCCATTAGCTTTCACAGATCCAGGAAGTTAGCACTGTGTCAGTAAAAAGAGAATAGCATATACTATACTCTTTAATTTTAAAGTGTTCTGATAAAGGCATGGGTCCAGTCCCAGAATTTTCAGTGGATCCATAGGTAGAATAATAAACCATGTTTTCCTGTCTATTTCTGAGACATTTGCCTAGTGAGATCAGACTTGCTTAAATATAAGCCCATGTGAGAACAAGGCCTCACAATGTTATTAGACTAAAAGTTTGGGTCTCTTATTTTCATAAAACCTCTACTCCTAGCACTGTACTTTAATTGCCTCAAATTATCATCTTAAATCTGTCCATTTGCTTTGATTTTTGCCACTGTGTTGAGTAAGCAAGCTTGAAGAAGTAAATACTAGAGAAACAAAACACATAAAGGCAATTAAAGACAATGCTACATTTAGTTCAGTTGTTTGTAATTTTTGCTTGGATTAATAATGTTTACCAAAACAAAACCAAATTTGCCATGCCAATGTAAAATATCTAGAAATCTCAGGAGAAACTGGAGGGCTGACCAAACCAAACTAAACTTAGCACTACTAATTAGGGACCATAGGAAACCTTCCTTTTTTTTTTTTCAATTTTTATTTTTTTATTTTTTTTTTTAGGTTTTAATAGTGTAATGTATTAAGAGGTCTGTTCATGGCATGCTGTCTTTATATATTGCTTTGCTCATTATATACAGCTAGGCATTCCTGTTGAATACATTCAGAGTTCTTAGCCTACATAGGGGTATTGTCCTCATCAATAACTTTCTTGCACCTTGTTCAAATTACAAAAAATCACTGATCTTTTAATAAAGGAAACCAAAGGCGGTTTTGTTCATGCATTGGGCATGAATCCTGACAGCATGTTAACATCTTTGGCCTTCCATTACTGTGCTTTGGTGCTAGGTTCTTGACAATTACTGTATCAGATCTTCAGAAATACTTTGCTGAGTTGGTCTTTCACTTTTTGTATTTTTCCCCTCCTGTTTTCTGCATCTGACTAAAAGGATGTGATTTTTTCAGGTGCTTTTTTCTTTAACGACATTTCTGTGGAAATGGATAAGCTTTTCAGATATATCAAATGCCATCAGAAAATGGTATAAAATTTGCATCTCTGTTGCTTCGAGCTGAGTTAGGCTGAGAAAGTTTGGAGAACACCAATACTCTTGGGGCCTATCTGGAAATATTTAAAATTTTAAAATGTCTAATGAGTAAAGCAAGAACAAAATTTGCAAATAAAAAGCTGCGTGAACCTGCTGAGTATGGTTTAATTTGTTAGATTTATGGTTGCCATAAATCTAAAAAAACCCGTATATTCTTCCTTAGATTAAATAAAATTGTTTTCAACACAAGTAGCAATGAACTAATTGTAGTTAATTTTACTGCAGTGCCTGTATTATGGCTTATTTGCCAGATTAAACTTTGCACATGTTCTGGTGTATGTAGTCACAGCTTAGATATTGTGAGATCTGAACTTAGTCTCTTCACTGTCATTAGTTAATATCTCACTGCAGCTTTGAAGTTTGAAAGCCTTTAAATATAGGGAAACTTGAACTCATATTGACAAAGATGATACAAAATGCAGTTAATTTTCTGGCCCTAGCATCTAGGCCTAGGCCTTTCCTCATCTGTATTTATTGTATGCTTTTTACAGTAATGCTCCTCAAAAATGATCAACAGATTCTCCTAGGTTTCCAACTGGTCTTCCAACTTGTATAGTTTGTGTTGGGTAAATCCAGGGTAACTGGTAATCAAGAAAAAATCCCATCCATCCTTTATTTCAGGGCTTTTAAGATCTAAAATTTTCTCCCTGCTCTTCTTACTGCAGCCAGTGATGAGTGGAGGGTACAAAGCTGCATTTGAAGGTAACCTTAAGTACTGAATACTGTGACAAGAATTAGTCTGGCTTCCCACTTGCCCTTGGCCACGTGCTTTTTTTCTCTTTCTTTATACTGCAGTGCTGCACTTGGGGCAAGCTTTAGACAAGCTCACTGATCAGTAAAGAAATGTTTCTTCATTAGTGAGTTAGTTTTTCACCAAATCATCTCACTACAGCTGCCCTGCAGCTGTCTGATTGCTAGATCAAGCAAAAGGAAACATATGAGTGCAGGAGTACAGGGGTTGTCCCAAACATATCATATCTCTGTTAGATGGTTTTAGTGCGCTAAGAGGAAATATAACTTAAATATCTCTAGATTCTTTCCAACCAGATTAGGTCTACAGATATTTTCCTTGACTCCATACAGTTTTGCTTGTCTAAGCTTCTAACTCAAAGACTTTTTGTCTGGTCCCTGTGGAAGGAGCATACACGTAGCTTTTTAAAAATCAGTTGATGCGTACAAAGTAATCTTAGACTTTCTGATAAAACATAACATTTTTTGTTCTGAAAACTTTAGACTTTTTTATGACTCAGCTTTGGAATACAATGAATACACTATTGCTAAATCTGTTTGTTATGAATATAAAAATAGGTTCACTACACAAAGTAACATTAACATGTAGAAGGAAATACAACATATTTCTTGTGTGTAAACAGAGTAATTTTTCTCTGTCTTTTTTTTTTTTTTTTTTTTTTAATCACACACTCCCGTTCCTCACCTGTCTTTCCCATCCCCCCAGTGAAAGTTTCTTCTTTGATAGAGGCTGGAGAATATCAAGGGCCATCATGCTTCAGAATGGCTACACTACCTCACTTGCTGCAGTAGGACTGAGGCCACAGGGCTACTTTTACCAAAGGTGGTTTCTGTCCTTGTTCACTTCTTCTTAATTTGCGTCTACATGGCAAGGGCATGTAGGGATGGCACTGTAGGGGAAATCAGTTGGCAGTGATGTCTCTATAAGCTTTTTATGTGCAGTTTAGGGTAATATTTTAGAGTAGTTCAAGTACCACCTGGGGCATTGGATTCCAGGTATCTCTTACAGCACATTAGGTATAGTCATGGAATGCATCTTCTAGTGTTGTTTCATCTTAAAAGAATCCAGATGAGGGGCTCAGGTTGCTCAGCCATGCAAACCAGAGCAAGATAAGTTGGGGCAATTGGGAGACTGGTTTCAAAACTGTATTTGTGTTTTGAACTAAAATATATCATTATTTGCTTTCTTCAGAGCACTGGGTATTGCCCTTTTCAAGGGTAGCTTAGCTTTGCTCCATTCTACTGAGAACCAGCAGAAAGCAGTAGGAGGTTTTTAATCCTCAAATTTATCTAAAGTAATAGGAGCTGATGGCTATTTGATAGAGTAAATTTTACAAATGTTAACAGATTAAAAATTTTAAAGGAAAATCATATTTTGAAATAATTGTTTTATATATGCTCCATATGTACAGGGATGTTACCTAAAAAAAAGAAAAAATACTGATTTGGGTCAGCTGTATTGAACAGAGAAGGGGGGGAGAGGGGAGGAAGGCTGTAAGAGAGGGGAAGTAGAAGAAAGGACTACCTACACTGCATTAATTTTTCATATTTTCAGAGTAATATAGTATCATCAGGTGATGCTGGTAAATTTCCCTCCTCCTGAAAAAGAAATTATAATAAAAGAACAATTTAATGCTGATACTATGCATTTTCAAATCCATTAGTAATACCACGTAGAAGTAACAATTGGGGGTCTTACCATTTTAGGACAGGAGAAAAATAGCATCTTAAAACAAAATACAGCAAATTCCCTTCCATTTTCATGTTGTTTTGAGCAAGAGTATCAGTGTTTCTGTGTAATGGTTAATGCTCCAAGAAACTCTTAAATTGTGTGTTTTGGGAGTGCCTTTTTATAGATGAAAACAAGTGAAGGGGGCATGTTCTAGCAATTGATTTTGGGATCATCCAAATTCCCCATGACTGGCTTTCTACCCTTTAATTATTGGTAATTTCTTTTTGGTGAGATCAGTGATTTAGAAAGCAAAGTATTTTGTGCTTAAATGATACCTACTTTTCAAAATACTACAAGATAGCTAATTTAGATTATAATAGCTAACAGCTTCTTCTCTCCACATGTTTTTCTTTTTCCTTAAGCATTACTGTCTTGTTCAAGATGATACAGGAAATCTATGTCAAAGTAATGGTTAAAATCCTGCAATGTCTGGCTCTAAGCCCTGTTCTCCACTAGTCTCTGCTGCTGTGAAGCATGTTTGTATTTTTTTATGTCTAAAAAGAAAAATAACACTTTATTTTTAATTTTAAAAATGTTTAGAAGTGTCACTTTGATGTAATGTATTCCCACCTATTAAAATGTTCTGCATTTTAACTAGACACTTTATTCCAGCAATCCATCAAAAACTGGAAGCAGATGGAACGGAAAAAGTAGAAGGATCCATGACGCAAAAACTGGAGAATGTACTGAACAGTAAGTTTTGTCCTTCCAGCAGCAAGTATTTATGGATTTTGAACTTTGTAACAAGCTTTAATATATTCCTAGGAATATAGTAGAAAGTAGAAAACAGTACAGCCTCTCGTGCCCTACCCTGTTTGATGGTAGTGGTTTTAGGGTGTGATAAAAATACACCTTTTGAAATAAGTAGCAGCTCTTCCTATGACTTTTACCGGTGTTTGTGATAACAGAATAAACATGAAAGTAAAGATGTATTAAATCACTTTAATTTTGGTGGTATCTCAATTTTGGACAAAGACTGGACAGAGTGGACAAAGAAAATAGAGGAACTCTGTGGACAATCAGAACTGTAGAAGGATGAGCAGAGTTGAGTACCAGGATTGTAAGAAGTTCAAGTAAAAGCAGAAAAAAGCCCAAATATAAGCTGTTTGCAATAACAAGGTCTATTAACAGGATCATTTCCACTTAATGTGTTGGCATTTAGACTATTTGGCATGAGCATTCTTTCTAGAAACTTTGAAAAGCTGTCAGTACTTTCTTTTCTGTTTTTCTGTATTAGCTCTGAGGTTACATTGAGAGAGATGGCTTGAATTTGCTGCAGTTCGGTATGTGTTTCATCAGATCAAAAAAGTTACTTTTTTTTTTTTTTCATTCTGGGACTTCTGCCAAGATAATTTTACTTTGTTTCATTGTGATTTTTTTCACAGAGGAAGGGATGTTTCCCTTAGTGCTGTATCAATAAGCAGGAATGACATGCAGATAGCTGACTCAGTGCTGGAAAGTCTGAGTGTGTTTTATGAAATCAAGAAAGTGACATGGAAGTTCACTGTTTTTCTTGTCTTGTATGAAGAAAGCAGTGACTGTATGTGTGTTTGTGTGGGGAGCACAAAGAAAGCAGAGGGTTTTGTGAACAGCTCTAGCTTGTTTCAGTGGTGATTCATTAATGCTCACAATAAAGGTGTAGTTAAAAAAATGACAAAAAAACACAAAAAAATGTCACACCACTATATAAAGACTATACATGTGTCTGTGTATGCAGAATACATTTAGGGTAGAAGAAAGAAGCATTTGCTGAAATATTCCAGTGCAATTCTCAGTGCTCTGTTTTTATACCATGTCACGCAACAAGCACAGATTCCTTGGAGAGCGTTTTCCCTTGAACAAAATTGTGTGAAAAATTTTAAATAAAAAAGCAAAAATGTTGATCTGTGATCTTCTTTTCCTATGTGCACTAATATGAGACAAATTAACCTACAACATATAATTACTGTTGCATTTGATAAATGGTAGCTGAACTCAGTATGTAGACAATGCAGACCGTCTTTTTCAAGCTGGATCAGTAGAGGAACTTGTGCCAGACACTTCAGAGTAGTTTTAAGTTTGGCTCTGCTATGAAAAAAATTGGCTACTTTTCCTCATGATACTTTGCAAGTCATGATGAGTGGGAGGCAGGGAAGTAGGACTACAAGGATTTAAAAAGAGTAAATAACATTATGCAAAGTAGTTTGGGATCAAAGCTTTGTTTCTTGTCTGACCATTGAAAAAAAAAAAAGATAAAAAAAAGCTTCCATAATCCATGAGTAACAGGGCCTACTTTCAAACATGACTTCAATTCTTTAGTCGAATTCTACATTTTATGGACTATACGTGCATGTTTGGGGAAACAGTTAGTGTTGTTTGAGCTTGGTTACAAACTCCTAAAAATAAGGGTGTTTTCCACAGTATCTAAATGTATGTTAAGAGGGTGCCAAATTACTGAACTGAAATGGCATGGGGTAGTAGAGTCACAATTTAGTGCTGTAGGTGCAATTATAAATGTTTAGAGTTTTTGCAAAATTTAATTGCTAAACAAGCTATTAAATATATGTTATTTAAAACATATGGTGTCCTATAATGAATGTAATGAAGAATTGCACATTAAAAGAGGTCCATCAAATTTCATTATGTGATGTTTTTGTCAAGCTCTGTGACAGACAACTATTGGATAACTAGATTTATTTTGAAGTAAGAAAATTCATGCACTGTAGATGAATCATTTGTTTTGAAAACAGTTAGTCAATAGAAGACCTGAAAGTTTATCCATGGGTTGTTTAGGTTTAGATTGTTCATCAGTAATCAAGAAATAAAGATTGTAATATTGAAAGGATTTGGAGGGATGGGGAGGGCAGAAATTTTACAGTATTTTAATTCTAAAAAGATAGACTTGCATGAAGTATTGAATTTCATGAAGACTTTAATAAGTAATTTGATATATTTCAATTTCTTTGTAAAACAGAAATAGTAGCCTTAGGGGAAAAAAAAAAGTAAAATAATTTACCTGAATCAAGGATTTGTGCAGCAAATGATTTCATAAAAGATGGAGATAGAAATCCCTGTGCTCTTTCTGCAGTTGTCAATTACCTTTTAAAAAGGTTTGCATTGAATTTTTAAAAAAGAAAACAAACCAACAACTTTAAAATATAACTTCACTTCCCAGGTACAGTACATTGCTTCTGGGCTGTTTAAAAAAAAGCACAAGAAACATACGAATTCAGACAAAGCAAATGTTAACTTACTGGAAGGATTTACAAAACAAGCATTTTTTATAACCTTGAGAAAAATCATACTTTACCAATGGTCTGTATTTAAATGTCCAGCTAGCTGTTTTCATTGTGCATTTCTCCTTAATGGATTAAAGTATTCTATGCTGAACAGTATGCAGTAGAAATAACTGTCCTGACAAAACTTTTTTTTACATCAAGGCTTCGAAATTTCAACAAAGTTTAAACATTATTTAGATATAACAATTATTTTACAAAGACTACTTTTAACATGAGCGGGCCACCCACAGTGTTGACTAGAGAAAATGGCATGCAAGCCACCCAGCGAGACTGATGTAATTTTTTTTCATCTTTGCTTAAAGTGTAGTCACTAGACCAGATAATGTAGAAACTTCTACACGCAACGATCAAAAAAGCTAAAACAGTTCCACTTTTGTTTTTTGGAGTTTTTTGGTTAATTAAAAGCAAGTCACAGGTTCAAAAATGTAAATATTCACAGGCAATAAAAATCTTCTCTACCATAAATGTAATTTTATTATTCTGTGTTATAGAATAATCTCCACTAGAAAATAGAATGCTTTTTAATTTGGATAGAAAAGGTTTTAGGGCTATATTTAATGTACTTATTGAAGAGTATCTGCAGATAGTATAGAGACTTAAAATGCTTGAAATTGTTGACCAAGGCTTGATCCTGTGTGTGATGAAGCCAGTAAGAATTTAAATGCAATGCGAAGACAATTCTGTTACAGTGACCAACTAGTTAGACTTTTTTCAGCCATGACATTGTCCTTGTCTTAATCATTGTTACTTTTTAGTAGTTCACTTAAATATCAAATATTGCTAATAATTTTTAAGACTTGATTTGAAAACACAAAAATTATTTGCAAAACCTGGTCACAGTTTTTAAAGCTATGATAGTTAATATCATATTTGAATTATATTTTTTTAAAAAATAAAACTTTCTATTGCTTTTTCCATATCCTGAAATGCATAATTTGCTTGTAAAATGTACATCTGGAGCCAAAGCAAACTATAAAATATCTGCAGCAAAAGCTAAGCGTTTGAAATAGGAAAGAGTGATTGTTTTTAATTGCACAGGGGTCTTACCACATTAAAATGCTAAGTGGTTCCCTTTGAAATAGTATTTCAGCAGTTGTAAAATGTTAACACAGTTAAACAAAAAAGTATGAAAATCAGCAATAATTACTCATTTGCTCTAAAAAACTTGAACAACTCATTAAAATGAAGAAAATCTGTTCGTGATTTCAACTGATTACTTACTCTACCTTCTCTTATTGTCATCCTTTTTGAAATAGGAGCCAGTAACACAGCAGATACCTTATTTCAAGAAGTGCTGGGTCGCAAGGACAAAGCTGATTCAACGAGAAACGCACTTAATGTTCTTCAGCGTTTTAAATTTCTTTTCAATCTTCCCTTAAATATTGAAAGAAATATCCAGAAGGTATAATGCTTTAAAAATAATTTTCTATTTGCTGAAAGGAGTCTGTTGAATTTAGTCTTTTTCTTGACAAATATAAATTCTTGGTTTTGTTTTTAAGGGCGATTATGATGTGGTTATTAATGACTATGAGAAAGCCAAGTCCCTCTTTGGAAAGACAGAGGTTCAAGTATTCAAAAAATGTAAGATATGCGCTCTGCTATTTAATGGGTTTGGTGGTTTTTTTAACTTACAGGCTGAAAAGCACATAGTAGACTAAAAAGCTTTATGTGGATTTGATATGGATTTCTATCCATACAAATTATGGATTTATAGGAACCATTTACACAGTATTTATGGCAAGTATTCTGAGTGAGTTGTTGTATACCACACAACATGAAATCACAGCCAATTTTATTTATTTATTCAGGCTTGGTATTACTGGACATAAAAAAAGGTTATAGTAATTAAAATGTGACTTTGGGTATCTCTCGCTGGCATATTGTTGAAAGACTTGAAAGTCCAATTTTCTGCATTTGTAGAACTGTCATGTACAAAATTTTCGAATGTGGCTTGTTTTAAAATGAGTTATATTGATTTCCACATTAACACCAGAAGTGTCTGATATCCTAGGAAAATAATGTAATTCTCAGTTCATAGCACTACTGAAAGACACATTGGTTTTGTTTCCGCTCCCTACTCCTAGATTATGCAGAAGTTGAAACCAGAATTGAAGCTTTACGGGAACTTTTGTTGGATAAGCTGCTTGAAACTCCATCAACATTGCATGATCAGAAACGTTATATAAGGTAATTACCTGAGTGGTGCCTTCATCAGACATATGGTGTTAGACTTGTATTTAAATGTTTCCTAAATATGGTAGTGAATAGTTTTACTGTGGTTTAAATACTTACTTTAAAACTGTAAGTAGAGTATTTTGAGATTTTATGATTATATAAATAATGGCAATGGAATGTTACATTTTATTTGAATGACTGAAAAACAGTTCTTGAATGAGAATAATGAAACATAAGTGAGATTTGAATTTAATTTTTTTAAAATCTTTAAGGCATGTTTAGATTCCCTTACTTTCTCTAAACCATCATATTGCAAGCTGTGCTTGAAATGGTTATTCGCAGTTTGCATGCCTCAAAGTAGATTCCGTATTTACTTGTCTTACACTTTAGCTTGGCTGGTGTTGAAATGGAATCATCCTGACTCAGATAACAGGGAGATTTTAGTCCAGACTGTCCTTTGAATTTGGCTCTTTTACTGCTCAGGCTAAATAATGAAGTTACTTAATATTTCATGAACATGAACTGGTTCCCCAGTTTTCATTAATGTTTCTAGATTTTCTTTTTTTCACAAAGCTGATATCAAAGTGTGTTGTAGGGATACTGACACGAGTTGAATGGACCTTCTGCTGGTAGACTTGAACCTTACAGTGCTTGGTGCCAAACTTAAGAGTGTTCTGGAACGTTTGATGGCTTTATTTAGAAAACTTTTGAGGTGTGGATGCTACTAGGGCCCCTAGTGTGTCTTGAAAACTTCACTGCTTTTTTCAGTTATCTTAAGAGATGTGGACTAAATGTGCTTTGTTGGAAGCATTTGTAAATTTCTGACACTTGCATAAAGGTCTTCAATGTTTTGTGTGCACACCAGGCCCAGTCACACAGGACCAAGTGTGGTGTTGGTATCTTAGGTCCCTTTATGTTATGTGAGTTTGAGTACAGTGACCTGTGTGCATTTATGTAGAGTGCTTCTCATTCTCTTGCATACTTTATAAATATTGCCTATTTATTGGAATTGTGTTTTAAGATGAATAGTTAAGCATTTTGTGTCTATGAAGAAGTCACTGCTATTTCCTTTCCCTGTCAGTCTTGAAAATTATAAAGAGCAACTGCTTTATATAAGCCATTTTTACCTTTTCTAAGGAATATTTGAAAAAATCATAGTTGTACATGTGGCTTATTCCAGTTGGATTTTGTTTGGAGGCTTTTTTTGGTTGGTTGGGGTTTTTTTGTTTCTTGATTGGGCTTTTGGTGCATTTCTTTTTTGAGTTGGTTGCTTTTTAGTTTTTTGCTAGCCCCTTACTTTGAAGTATTGAATCTTTAAAAGTATCCCAACCTACATTAAAACAGACTATGTTAATGTAATTTCCAAATGTATTTCACATGTAGAACAATATAAGGAAGGAGAGCACGGAGTGAACAAATGTTGTAATAATTTAGTTCTAATGAATTGACAAAATCCCAACCTACTGAATGATTAAGTTAGTTTCACTACTCTAGGTATGCTAAGGCAGTTATACTAGTGTAAATTTTCTGGAGGCAAGGTGTGAAATAAGTTTTCTTCAGAGCACTTCAGTTAAAAGGCAATTAACAAAATCCTAATTTTAAAATTGTTTGGATAAACCCTGCTATTTTTATGACATTTTTTCTTCCTTGATACATTTGTTTTGTACGTCTCTGAAGTCTAAGGCTGAGCAAGACCTGAAATACTGTGATTTTTCTCCCTCAGATATTCAATGTTTATAATTAAGCTTCAGTTCATGATTTCCTCTCATTGTCTTATGATGTTTATGTATTTAATTATTTTATACTGTCCAGGAATAGTTTACCATAGCACTTAACAGCCAAGAAGGATATATTTCTTTCAAGACCAGTAATAATTTTTTTATTTTATTTGATGCCGAAGAGAAGACTAAAGTCCCTCTTAACACTGAGGAAGCACATAATTGATAAATGTCACCCTGTCAAAGTGGTTAGTTGTGTAATTTTCTCATCCATCCAACCAATCCTACTTCAACAGTTTATTTTTTGTTCAAACACTGCAGACATTTGTCAAAGATAGAATTTTGCAACACAGTCATAATTAACGTAAGGTATTATTGTAGTAATACAGCTTTTGTGAGGGAGTTAAACATTCCCTGCACTGCTTGAGGTAATATATCAATATTCTTCACCTTAAGCTTCTTGAATTTTTTTTAATCTGTTCTGCATCTCATTAATGCAGAATGTAATGGAATGACATAAATAGTAGAGCAGCTACCTCTGTTTTTGAAAATACTCTTTTGAAAGTACTGTTGTCAGATAGTCTTGAATGCCATACATTAGACTATATTCCTTCTGTGTTCTCTGCAAAATCACAGCAGCTGGCTTCTAATACTCCTCTCTCCCTAAAGACAGACAGTGTTTTGCTTCTGCAAATTAGAAGCTCCAGTCCTTTTTGTTATCTCTTCCCCCTCCTTTTTTTTTCAGACCATGTGCGTACATAAAAACACCAGACCAAAACAAACAAAAAAAAGCCAACCCAGGAGCTTGGTTTACATTTGTTTGTTGCATGCATGTGCTAAAATTAATGAGCTGCCAGAAATCAATTCTTTCTGTAATTACTCATTAAGATTACATGATGATACAATCAGAACATATACAGTAGGAAGAAAAATACCGTATTTTATGTGCTTGAGATGTCATCGCTGGTTCCAAGTGAAATATGAAACACTAAACTGCAACCTTGAAGATAAATAGTTTGGTTTCCCACATACTTTGCTAGTGGCACAACTGAAAATGTGTATTAATTTGATATTAACGATATATGGTTTTGTTTATTTCTATAAACAAAATTTATTTCTATCACTGAATGAAGAAGGGAGAATGCAGTGGACATGAGCACATCTTAATACCTATTCTTGCATTTTTAAAACTATGTAAAAAACAAAAAAGTATTTCTTAGTACATCTTAAGTCTGTTTTAATGAGGCCTTCAGTGTGTCAAGTCAGAGCTGTGATTTTTGGACTGGGTTTTACAGATATCTTTCTGATCTTCATGCGCCTGGGGACCCAGCTTGGCAGTGCATTGGTGCTCAACATCAGTGGATTCTGCAGCTCATGCACAACTGTAAGGAGAGCTATGTTAAAGAACAAAAAGGCAAGGACACATTTTTTATTTTAAATATATATATCTATTTGACATTTAGAAGTTTGGCATTGCCTTTTATTTGACAAGTACAGATGATATTTGGGTTTTTTCCCATCAATTTTGATAGCTTTTTACAAAGTTGAATGCTGACTTGTATTTTTACTTTATTCTATTATAAAAATAAAACAGCAGTTGGAGTTTTCTTTTTGTTTGACTTATAACTTCTAAGCTTTTTACATGGGAAAAGATTAAATTTCAATCATTTATCTATATTTTACTGTCCTCTTGAAATATTTCTTTGAGGTCACATGAAGTTTGGATTGTTCTCTGAATTTGCCAGTTAGATTTTTTTGTCACAAGACATGCTGTTAGTATATGGATACACAGGAAATTGGGGCACAGTGGAATAATATGTCATTTCTTGATATACTGTGAATGATAATATGGTGTTCTCTTGTTCTTTGTTTGTGTGCAGTTACAAAATTCAGGTTACACTGTTTGGGCACAGATCTGTGAGCTGGGCAAATGGGACATTTAGACAATGTTATATTAAGACCAATAGGAATACATAGTCATAGTCTGTCTTTGACAACGTTGCTCCTCAAAGGAAAATGTAGGTATTGCTTTCAGGTGTGGCAGCAACTTAACTACAAGTTAACATTAGAATATATACAAAAGAGAATAGGTGTAAGGCTGTTGGCCTGACATTTCTAATAGTAAAATCTGAGAAGTGGATTTTCAGGTTAGAAAACTAGAAGCAGTGCCATGTTTCTCAAGAAGTCTTGCAGAGTTTACTGCTAGTTCTGAAATGAATAGATGTATTGGAATCTGGCATCCCTTGCCTTATAGGTAACTCCCACGTTTAGTGTTAGTGCATGCATATCCCAAACCAAATAAGGTGTTTTATTCTTAGAAACCACGAAACTTTTACTGATTTGGAGCTGCAACAGAAATGTGCTGTAAAATTGCTGCAGGAGGTTTGAACTCCCTCACAGAGGTTGTGACATTATACAGATATAGAGTTCACAGGGTGCATCGCATATGACAGCAATGTCAGTAAGTCTTAGCTTAAAAGTGTGCACGGACCATCTTTTTCCATTACACAGTCTAAAGTGCAGTAGAACCATCTGGAATACCAAATTGTTTTACTGGCCTCTCAGTCAAAATTCAGAACGCTTGCAGAACCTCCCCATCTTCTCTTCTCATCAAAACCCTGATACACCACCACCAACCTCACAACACACAGTTATCAGGAGCAGAAAAACAGCCATGTTCAATAATTCTAAGTTTTCTTTTTCTCCTCTTGCTTCCAAATTGTTGTATAGACATCTCTCAGCTTCTTAGCTAGAAAAATAGGGACATGAAGATACTTAATGCTTGAGACTTGTTTTAGTTGTCTGTATAATTCTGATATGCAGGCTCCAGTGCATGAATGGAAAAGGTGTGTAAATTCTTAGATTTATCTTGAAAAATCTCAACTTTCTGGTATTTTTCTTGCAACAAATCTACTAACCTCAGCCTTACTATCAAAGGGGCTATTATGTTAACAGCTTTGTTTGGCTGACAAAAGAGGGAATTTAAATAATTTGAATACCCAGTAAATGCATGTATCACTAGTTAATATTTTATGCATGTATGAAAGAAATGCTAATATATTATCACTTTTATTAAAAAGTTCATCAACTTTTAGTAGTTTTCTTCCAACCTTCTGTGTAGTCCTTATTGATTGTAGGGTTTTGTACAGATTTTAAAATTCTCAAGAATCAATCCTAGTTGATTTAACTTCTCAGTTAGTATCTAGTAGGACAAAGGAAAGTTGCAAAGCCTGATTTTTCCTTTCCATAGATCTTTAATTTTGGCATATACCAGATGGGAGATGGAAAAAAGAAAACTCAGAAAGACTGGTTTTGACTGCCAAGTAGAACAATGCTGATTGTGATCAGAGACATGGAATGTATTTTAATCTACTTTAACAGATGTATGCTTTTCAAACAGGGAAAGTGTGGGGTTTTATTCATGGATATCAGTTTGGTTATGCAAGACTGTGGGGTATCTAATCAATTTCAACAAGTCACAAATGTTATTTATATGTTCATAAATTCATAGACTCTTTTTAAGAGAAAATATTCATTATTTTTCAAACATTTAATTTCTCCACTTAACACAGGCTTCCTAAAAAGATTTTTTTTTTATGTATATCAAGCATTTGGAGGAAGAGGTGAGTCATAAAGCTGATTCTCCAATGAGAAGAGCATTACATTTTTTTCTAAGTTTCCCTTTTCAACAGGGGTAAGGGAAATGGTTTCTAGCAGATGGCAGTCTTCGTATTGCATATGCTGGAATAAGCAGACAACGATTATAGTTCCACCTTGAGCATACCAACTATTTCTGGCTATTCTTATCTTAGTTTGTCTGCCAACTGAATCTATGGGTTCAAACTGCTTGAGTCAAAATTTTTTAGCATAGTAAACTTAAACCTCAGTAGCAGATTGTATCTATTTTTGTGTTTGTGCACAATTTTTCAGCTTTCAACTGAGCTTGTGGTAAAACATTTTGCTGCTATTTTATTAGGTTTCAAACAGAGCTGTGCCCTGAGTCACTACACATGAATTTTACTGCTTGAAGTGCATTTGGAATTAAACAAGAGTCTCTTGCTTCTTCTTACCTGGATAAGTCACACTGCCAAATTATTTGACAGGGGCTTGGGTTTTTTTATTTCTTGAAAACCATTAGGCATTCTGGACAAGATCTTTGTAGCTGATTGTCAAGCAGTAAATATTCTCTAAAGAATTTATTTGCTGGCCATGATGTATTTAGGAAGGAGAGGTTAACTTTGCAATTATTTGCTAAACAAGCTAAAAAACAATCCTAAGTGAATTCTAAGGAGAATTACTCCAAATTTAGTCAGTAATATGATAAGCTAACAGTTTATTCTGTGGGACAAAATTGTTCCAGTTGCCTATGCATAACTAGAATGCTGACCCATTCATTAGTCATCACAATTGAAATAATTTCATTTTCTTATACAGAAATAGCATCTTTTCCTATCTTCTGTAAGAGATTTGGTGACATATCATCTCATCCAGGCCAGTAGTCATGGCAGTCAGGAAAAATCCCCAGTACTGACAAGAATTAAATCTACTTTTCTACATCCTCTGTAGGATCTTCATCTGATAATTGTCCTCTTACTAATAGCTGCACTTTCAAGGATGTCCTAATTGAAGGAGAAGAGTGAGCTAATTTAGATGCTGTTGGAAGGAGCTATCAGAAAAGTGTGTATTAGAGATGTATTTAAATAAATATTTGTTTTGGGTTTATATCTGTTTTTCATCTGAGTGTGAATCCTTCAGTCTCAGTAGTATTATAACATGAAAAGTTTTTTTAAAAAACAAACCTCTGTGCTTGGATATTACTAGAGATTAATTCCATTTTGTATAAATACTCAGCAGTGGTAATGATGTCCTCAAAGTATCCTACTACCATAACATAGTACAATCTCTGATGGAACCTGAAAGAAGAAACTGTGGCAAGTTCACAGAGCTGAGTTCTCTTTCAGAATTTTCTTCAGGGATTAGCAGAAGTCCATGTTTCAAATACTGTCTGTTTTCAGTTAATCCCACTTGTGTTAATGCTATTTCCAAAAACTGAAAGAGTGTATCAAGCTGTGCTAAGCTTTGTCAAATAATTTGGCAGTGTGACTTAAAAAGCTGGCAACTACTAACAGCAAATTGTTCAGTTGGATCTTTCCTTTGATTTTAATAGACATTTATTAATCATAATAGATGCAGTAATCTGATCGTTAGTTAATTGGCTGCATTTATTTCTGTGACTACAAGTAGGATGGGGAATTCTCTCAAGTCCTGTGTATGATGTACTCTACAGCAGTGTTTTGGAGTCTGTTATTTCTCTTGAGGAATAGGTCTGTATGCATGTGAACGTACTGTTTCCCCTCAGTCTAAACAACCCTGTTGGTTTGCTGATTAGCCTTGCATTATGGAGGGTAGTGTTTCGTTGTGTGCTAAGATGTGGCTGTTGTTACTCACCCCTTGTTGCCTTTAGCCTATCTATTTCTTGCTCCCTGTAGCCATAGCAGACCTTCCTCATTTATGAGGTAAAAAAGTGCAGGCAGATGATGTTTGTATTATGTGAAACTGTTGGAATCTAAGCCCACAGGTTTTAAGGAGTGAATGAAAATGCAGATATGACAGCAGATCAAAATTTCTCCTGCTCTGAAGTATGAGTAGCCAGGACAAAGAGACCAAGCAGTGTAACCAAAGTCATAGTGAAAGCAGGAGGCGGTACAGGGTATACACAAATCATAAAGCTCCCATGCTCTCCTCTCCTTGTATTAAGCCACTCTTCTGCTTCTCTGGTGGTCAGATTCTTCCATTAAAGGTGCAACTGTAGATATGGGACCCATGTGCAACTAGCTGGAGCTCTAGATCTGCAGATGTAAATATGTAGGTGTGTTACATTAAATAAAAAACTTAAAAAGTAATCTGCCTTTCTCATTGAGTAGGCAGTTGTGCTCTTTTATTGTCTTTTGTGAAGTTATTTCCTGAAGCATAGATGAATTCCTTTTATGAATCTGGTCACATCCTGCTGGTTTTGTCCTCTGGAAGGACCTGAAGTAAGTAAAGCCAGTTTGCTGCAGTTACTTAGTATGTAGATATGGTAGAGAGGAGAAGATGCTTGAGACTGAATAGACTGGAAAAAGGGGATTTTTTCAGGCTCTGAATATTAAGTTAACAGGGAAGAGCTTATGCTCACTCAAAACAGTACTTATTGAATCTCTAAGAAGAGATATTTGAATTATAAACTGAATTGTATGCTAGTATTTTATACCTTATATTGGCTAAAGTCTGAATTGCTGCTTCAGAACTTTGAACTTATGATTTGTGGGAGTTTAGGGAGTTTTAAGTCTGGTACCTGGATACTAAATGGCTTCCTTCAGTTAAGATTTTACATATTTGTAATTTTTAACTTTATTTTGCAATTCCCCTATCATT